GAGAGAGAGAGAGAGCGAGACGAGAGATGAGAGAGAGAGAGGAGGAGAGGAAGAGGATGAGAGAGAGAGGAATATGTATGAGTTGGACGGAGTGTATTAGCGCGCAGCGAAGGATCGGATATTCAGGCGGTTGTGCTCGTCCGCATATTGCGTGCCCGCTCAATGGATACAAATGACCTTGCGGCAAGGCTGATTTTTCTTGGTCGACGCTGCACGGGTCGCCCTGGCATCATCACTCATCCGTCGGTCCCCCCTCCCCTCCCCCCCCCCCCCCTCCTAACGCCCGCGCCTGATTCAAGCTCACCGCAGGCTCGCTGAGTTTAGACGCAGCTTCCGCGGCGGCGCGTCAGTTGCAAAGACGAGGGAGCCGGCTGAACACAGCAACCCTCCACGGGACGTCGGAGGAAGGAGGAGGGGGGGGGGGGGGGCGAGCCAGCGCGCCACTGAGGCTGGGGCGCGCTGGGGCACACTGGGCTACGCCGGGAGCGAGCTAGCTGTCTTGGTCGACTTGAATCGGATGGTACAGATTGCTTGTCAGCTCAGAGTCATGGTACTGGCTGTGTTTACGTTGCCCATTAAAATGATAATTGTGTCGTTGGTGTGCTATTTGTCTGTTTCCTGTCGGCGCCAATGTAACCCATCGAGCAAATGTGTTTATCACGTCCCATCTCATCTTCCGGACCCGCGGCGCGGTCGAGTGCGTCCCGGCCCGGACCCACGGCACAGTCGAGTCCGTCCCAGCCTGGGCCAATGGCGCAGTCGAGTCCGTCCCAGCCCGGACCCATGGCACAGTCGAGTCCGTCCCAGCCTGGGCCCGCGGCGCAGTCGAGTCCATCCCAGCCCGGACTCGCGGCGCAGTCAAGTCCATCCCAGCTTGGGCCCGCGGCGCAGTCGAGTCCGTCCCAGCCTGGGCTCGCGGCGTAGTCGAGTCCATCCCAGCCCGGACTCGCGGCGTAGTCGAGTCCATCCCAGCCCGGACTCGCGGCGCAGTCGAGCCCATCCCAGGCTGGGCCTGCGGCGCAGTCGAGTCCGTCCCAGCCTGGGCCAATGGCGCAGTCGAGTCCGTCCCAACCCGGACCCATGGCGCAGTCGAGACCATCCCAGCCCGGACTCGCGGCGCAGTCGAGTCCATCCCAGCCTAGGCCTGCGGCGCAGTCGAGTCCGTCCCAGCCTGGGCCCGCGGCGCGGTCGAGTCCGTCCCAGCTAGCCTCCCGAGTCTGGTGCGACGTTAATGACCCTCGGTGCACCGAACCTGAACATTACTGGCCTTAGGAGGACCGAACCTGAGCACCCCGGCCCGCCATCTCAGCTTTCGTGGCGACCGACCGGTCGCGGACTGCAGGCGCAGCGCACCGGGAACTTGACGACATCCGTTTTGCCGGGTCAGCGCAACAGGAGTCTAATAGCGAAGATCGTGGTCCTTCCGAGAGAGCTAGATTGCTTGCCCGACGGCGGTCTTTGTCTTTGTCTTTGTTCTTGACCGCATCATGCTGTTAACATAATGCGCTGTGGGTCACGCCAATGTGGCCTGGATCTCGCACGCCCTGGGTACCTCGAAGCCAGACTCAGTGATTCTCACTATTGAGCTGTGCTCTTAAAGGGAGTGACGTACCTTTGGGGCATTTTTCAAAAAGACACTCTGGTGAAGCCCAGGACTAGGTTTGTCTTATAATAGCACTGTGTGGAGGCGCTACAGCACCGTTTAGACACAATAATGATATTAAGTTGACTATTTGCGAATTCAAATTTCGCCGTGAACGCTTTGAGACAGCTATACGCTTCTTTTCTACAGACGCGACCACCGTTGTCATGAGAACACCAAGCGTACCTTCACTAGTGCGAATAAAAGGACGTTTGCGATTGCCCGGCGGGCAAAGACCTGTTACCGAGAAGCGCATTGGTTTAAGTTTGAACCAGTGCGTCACATGGAACATGTGATGTGCCCATTCCCGAAGCCAAAGTGCGCCTCGCAAGGAGCCACTGTAGTAAGCATCATAGCAAAGAAATCAAAGCCATGGTATGACGTTTCGTTGAATTCGCGGAATGATACCTACATGTTAGCATATGCGTTTGTCTAATCAGTGTTTCAAGCTTTCATAACACTTATTGCACAAACATTGTGACACATTACCGTGTTTCACACATAGAAGAACCGAGGCGAATCACATTTATCACTTTCATAGTGACGAGCAGGGAGCCAAACGTGATTTCTCCCGCTGAGTTGGCTAATTCAAATAGAAAATCTAAGCAACTCATAAGGATGGCATTACTGACCAAATCGTACGCGTGTGATGCAACAATAATGAGAAACTACAGACAGTTTACCATACTGCCTTTAACGGGCGGATGTGCTGTTCCGCAGTTCTGGGCGGCGTACGTGCCGTGCGAGAGCCAGTGGCTGGATGCCGTGCCCATGAGCGTGGAGCAGATAGACGTGGTGCGCCGCCTGGTGGACAAGTACCCGCACTACCTGAGCCTAGCCACCAGCGCGCAAGGTGAGGCACGCCCTCCGAGCTTGGCTTCCGGTGTTCGGCGTCACCCCCTCAACCTGAGCTTGCCGGCGCTCAAGATGAGATTTAATGCCTGAGATTGTCCTCCGTTGACCAAGATGAGGCCATTAACGGGGATTGACCGTATCATTAGAACCTATCATGTGTGTATAGGAACATAAGGTTTCAGTACAAATGCAGGTCAAGCGCGAGCACAAACACTTGTTTCTCTACGCAGCTGGTGTGACGAGGCATAGGTGGTTGTCTTGCTGGTGAAACACGGTGCCGGGGCTGAAGCTTATCGCGCCGTATTCGCCTCACTACCTTGATCAAAATGCCGATGTTACATGCTGAGGATGGCGAACAGTAACGAGTCGGCGAGCAGTGGCGCTTTCCTTAAAGCCCACCATTTAAAGCTGTTTTGTTAAGCCCTGCAGGGATATTCATTATGCTGAGTAGTCTAAAGAAATTGGTTCCGGCTGCAGCCAGCTCCCCAGCTCGGAGAAATTACCTCCAGCAATAGTTAACAGTCTTACAGAGCTTAAAAACTGAAGTGCCCGAGCAAGTGTTTGCATAGCATACATAAAAGCTGGGGTCCCACGATTGGTCTCGTGAAACGACGACCGAACCGCATAAAGGTAAGGCGTTCGCTTTTTACCTGTACGAAGCAGAGCCCCTCTTCTTGTTTGTATGCTCGCGTTTTGTTCTCGGGCTTGTCGCGCAACACGCATTGCTGCCAGACGTGGCGAATTTTGCGCGTCACGTTGTGTACTGCTCGCAGCGGCTCGCGGCCATTCGTCCGCACACAGCGCCGAGGCTAGTGTAAACAACGCTCAGGCTTTAATCTGGTGTCGCAGCCTTCCATTGGCTATATAAACAGCCACGAACTCCGCACCCCGCCATTTCCGGAAATGGAGCCCACGAAGTTGGCTTGAATCTTATCGTGAGACCCGACGGTCGTTGTGCCGTCCCCGGCATCGTTGCCCATTCAGGCCGGTACAGAATAGTTTGCTGCGGCATGGACGTGGGCGCGATGCAGGTAGCAGGTAAGCGTGAGCAACGGAACAGGGCAGAACAGCGCGCGTCGTTACGGCGCCAGCAGCGCGGCACAGTCCTCATCAGCACGTAGTCAGTGACCTCGCCATGACCACAGCGCCGAAAGGAACGGCGCGACTTCAGGCCACGAGGAAGCTGTTGACCCGGCTAACCTGGCCATTCTGCGGTCGTTCCCGGGGGGTTTACAAGCGACTAGCGCCGATAAAAGTCGTAGCAAATTTTGCCGCTGTAGCCGGTCGGCGCCCTCTGGTGTATCGTTCCAACCGTTTCGGCTTCAAGCGCTTCCTGGTTAGAAGATGGGGCGAGCTGCCGGCTCGAGCCGGGTGATGGGCATTGCTACTCTAAAAGCTCGGCGAAGAGAACATTCTATCGGGCTGCTTTGCCTCTGTTTGATCCGTAGCTGGCTTGGGGCCGAAAGCTCGTTGTTCATTTTGGCTTGTTCCAATCTCCCAGGAATAATGATTGATATACCGTTGATCGTGTGTCCTCCGGACATAATACATGCAACCATTTTCGAGACCTCCTGTATACTTAGCACGTTTTCATTAAACGCGAAAAGGGATTGTTTTGCGAGCATTGGAGCACTCGAACTGCCGGGAGCGTGGATCAGAATTGTGTTGCAAATATGTTGGCCTCTGCAATTGCGCGATATGACTACTTCTATAGGCGTGCAGTAGAGCATGGGCCCAGAAATCGAGAAGAGTTCAGGTTGGAAAGAGGGATGGGTTTACATGGTTCTCTCACTCATGGGGAGTTTGAAATTTACTCTCCGGTGCAGCAAGGCAAGCACCGACTTCCGAATGGAAATATTTTCCCCTCGACACACGCACTCTTTTTGTGACGTGGATATTTTCATGAAATGGACGCTACTTTAGGCTTATGACGCTTGATGGCGCGGTGTATGTGCGTGTGTGCGTGTGTGCACGCGTGGTGCGTGCACGCGCGCGTTCGCGCGTGCGTGCGCGTAAGTGCGTATGATTTATGCGTTGTCCGCTATCTATTTTTAACTGCATACGTGCTCACATTCCTTAAAACACGTTTTGCATTTCCTTCTGACGTCCCGTCCAGAGTAGCATTTTTCCGTGCTTGAGCATTTCTGCCGCGAAAACAATTTTTCCACAACAACATGGCTGCCTTATTGCCTCTGTTTATTAAACTGACCGTTATCCCCAGACGTTATGGAGGTTCACCGCACGCTTGTCTGGTTGTTTAAGGCCCAGCTGTTGCCTGACGGGGTGCTGTCCGCAGACATCGTGGAGGCGCACCGCCGGGGCCGGATAGCCAGCCTGCTGGGGGTGGAGGGCGGCCACTCCCTGGGCAGCCGGCTGGCTGTCCTGCGCACCTTCTACCAGTCTGGCGTGCGCTACCTCACCCTGACGCACACCTGCGACACGCCCTGGTGAGAGCCATGTTCTAGCCCAGCCCTGACCTACTGACACACCACTGTGACTTGCCGTGGCGAGAGCCATGTCCTTACATAACCCTGACCTACTGACACACGACTGCGACTTGCCATGATACACGACATAATGCCGCGACTTGCCATGGTGAGAACCACGCTCTCACCTTTCTCTGACGCGCTGACACATGATCGCGACTTGCCATAATGAGAGTAATTTTCTAACCTTACCCTGATGCACCGGTCACGACTCCAGCTTCCCGCGGTGATAACCATGTTCTAACCTAACCCTGGCCTACTGATGCACACCTGCGACACTCCGCGGTGAGGGCCCTGCTCTAAACTAGCCCTGACCTACTGACACACGAGTACGACTTGTCGTGGTGAGAGCCACGCCCTAACCTTACCCTGACGCACTAACACATGACTGCGACTTGCCAGGGTGAGAGCCATGTTCTAACCTTACCCTGACCTATTGACACATGACTGGAACTTGCCGTGGTGAGAGCTACGCTCTAACCCTACCCTGACGCACTGGCACATGACTACGACTTGCCATGGTGAAAGCCATGTTCTTGCCTTACCCTCACCTGCTGACACGTGACTGCGACTTGCCATGGCGAGAGTCACGCTCTAACCTTACCTTGACGCACCGATACACAACTGCGACTTGCCATGGTGAGAGTCACGCTCTAACCTTACCTTGACGCACCGATACACAACTGCGACTTGCCATGGTGAGAGTCACGCTCTAACCTTACCTTGACGCACCGATACACAACTGCGACTTGCCATGGTGAGAGTTTTTGCTGCATCTGGGCTACCCTGCGCATGCGCGTAAGTATGTGATGAAAGCACCGTGGTTCTGTCTTATTAAATAACGTGCTGCAGCCTGCTGGCTTATCTTAACATGGATCAATACAGCAGAGCTTAACCATGCGTGCGAATCATTGGCTACGATTTACCTATGCAATGTCTATGCGGCTATTGGCTATGATCTGGCCATGTGTGGCCTTTTCTACCCGTTCTGTGGACGCCCGAGGGCATCTCTCATTGCTGACGACCACCTGTAGCCAAGCCCCGGGGACGGACGCCCGCCACTGGGCGGCGCTCATCATCGGCCGGCACCCGGCAGTACGGCCTTTTGGTTTGGCTGGGTTTATATTACACCCTTTTCGACGGGCAGCGACCATTCTGGGCCTCAGGGATTGCGGAGAGATTCGAGCGTTGGGCAAGAACGCGACCCTCTGGGACCGCTCCGCCGCCGGGCCTGACCCCGCGCGGGGCCCGTGGGCGGTGCGGGCGCCTGGCGGGCCCCCGCCGGGACGGCACTGAACCCCACCCATGGCGAACGGGCTCGGTTGGGCAGACGGCGCGTTGCGAGACTTCAGGGTGAGGTGCTGATGGAGACGGAGGTCGGATGGAAGGCGTTCATTCCGCGTCGGGCCACTCTCGGGATTAGCTTTTTACACAAGTACTTGGACTATGTCAACGGGCTAGAAGCTGTCGGCGGTGCAGAAGTTTAGACCGTGCCCGGCGGGCGGATCTGCGGTTTTATTCCCGACCGGAAGAACCCACTTTCTGGATGAGCCCTCAGACGGGCCGCTTGGGCTAAATAAACTAACACGGAAGGAAAACGCTAGCGGTATGGAATTCAGCTTCTGGACAGATAACGGCCTGAATGACGGTACGAGAGCTAACACGAATTTGCTTGCCTTGTCGGGAAATTGTTAATCTATGGTCACGTGTGAATTTTTAATTATTAAGCAGTAGCGATGCCTATAGCGGGTCCGCGATGCGAACCGCTCAGTCGTGTTGAGAGCGCTGTTGGTCCCATCGACTTCGTGTGGATCCCGCTGATGGCCAGTGACTGGTAACCTGACCGACTGACTTCGTGTGGATCCCGCTGGTGCTCAGTGACTGATAACCTGACCGACTGACTTCGTGTGGATCCCGCTGATGGCCAGTGGCTGGTAACCCGACCGACCGACTTCTTGTGGGTCCCGCTGATGCCCAGTGGTAGGTAAACCTGACCGACCGACTTCGTGTGGATCCAGCTGATGGCCAGTGGCTGGTAACCTGATCGACCGACTTCTTGTGGATCCCGCTGATGGCCAGTGGCTGGTAACCCGACCGACCGACTTCTTGTGGATCCCGCCGATGGCCAGTGGTAGGTAAACCTGACCGACCGACTTCGTGTGGATCCCGCTGATGGCCAATGGCTGGTAACCTAACCCACCGACTTCGTGTGGATCCCGCTGATGGCCAGTGACTGATAACCTGACCGACCGACTTCGTGTGGATCCCGCTGATGGCCGGTGGTAGGTAAACCAGACCGACCGACTTCGTGTGGATCCCGCTGATGGCCGGTGGTAGGTAAACCTGACCGACCGACTTCGTGTGGATCCCGCTGATGGCCGGTGGTAGGTAAACCTGACCGACCGGCTTCGTGTGGATCCCGCTGATGGCCAGTGGCTGGTAACCTGACCGACCGACTTCGTGTGGATCCCGCTGGTGACCACTGGCTGGCAACCTGACTATCTTGTTGGAAATATAACTCATATGGCCGTTTGTATTATCTCTCTGCAGGGCAACTTCATCCGCAACTGAGGGTGACGGAGAACATGTAGCCAGGGGCCTAAACGACTTCGGAAAGGTACACTGCCGCCTCCACGCTTTTTCGCCACTCGACGCTGTCAAAGCAAGGGATATAACAGAATGTAATGATACGACGCCTTTCCAATCTATTTTAGATCGACTTGTGCCGATATTTGTTTCCCCAGATATTTGGAAGGAGGGATCGTCATGCTCCATGAGCCTTGTTGTTCTTAAATCTAAACCTAGATCTCCGTTCAGCATCCAATAAATTAGCCAGTACTGTCGTATTTCGGATGACCTTCCCCTCTTCTCCCTCTCTCTCTCTCCCTCCCTCCCTCTCTCCCTCTCTCTCTCTCTCTCTCTTTCTCTTTCTCTCTCTCTATCCCTCTCTCCCTCTCTCTCTCGCTCTCGCTCTCTCTCCCCTCTCTCCCCCTCTCTCCCCTCTCTCTCCCCTCTCTCTCCCCTCTCTCTCCCCTCTCTCTCGCCCACCTCTCTCCCTCCCTCTCCCCTCTCTCTCTCTCTACCCCACCCTTCCTCTACTTACTGCACTCCCTGCCTTTCACACTGCCTCTCCTCCCCCTCTCCTTCTCCCACCTCTCCTCTCTGATGTGGCGAGGGGCGCCCGTCTCCACCAGTTGGTTGCTGGGCGCCGCCCAGGCCACTGCAGGCTCACGGAGCGCACCGCTCCGCCAGGCGGTCGTACACGAGATGAATCGGCTCGGCATGATCGTCGACCTGAGTCACACGAGTCGCCAGACGACGATGGACGCGCTGCGGGCCTCGCGCGCGCCTGTCATCTTCTCCCACTCGTCAGCCCAGGCGCTCTGCAACACGTCGAGGAACGTGCCGGACGATGTGCTGAAGAAGGTGGTGAGTCTGCTGGCGCCGTGGTGGGACCGGATGGCGAGGTGGAAAGGTGGAGCGGGGGCCTTGGCAGCGTGTTTAGCCGTCGTCCCTGCGCTGCTGATCGCCAGTCTTACCGGGAAATGATGCGCTCTTGAGTGTCTGTTTCCCAGGGCTATGGTAGTGGCGCTAAAAGCAGGAGGCAGCAGGGTTTGATTAACATTTTATGTTAGTTGTTAGGCGCCTTTGCATGGAACATTATGCACATAGATAAGACAGTAGTATAGCCCCATTTCTCATTGAAAACCCAGGAGACTGGAGATAGAGATGCGTTGATATTTCGGCAACATACCTTTATCGAAACGAATAGTAGAAGACTTCTGCTATTCGTTTCGGTAAAGGCATGTTGTCGGAATATCAACGCCTCTTTATCTCCTTTTTTCTGGTTTTCTATAAGGAGTAAGGCTATTACTACTGTCTTAACCATGCACATTGTATGCTTGCTCATTCCCTTAAATGTTCAGGAGATATTCAAGAACGCGTGGTGAACGGTAAATGACCCACACCGCAGTGAAACACTCCAGTCAAGTGCGCATTGTCGGCTCACATTAAACTTTGCGCTGCAATCGAGACGCCAACAGCCGAGAAGACCCCACCTGTCGATACTCACGTCCGATTAACAAGGTGCTCCCGGCGGTGAATGCGTTGTCACCAGTTGAGTTCGACGCTGATCGGAGCATGGTACTGACGCCAGCGGGGACCGTGGCCATACCGAGCTGTGAAACGGCCAGCGGGGTGGCAGATCTCGCACGACAGCTGAGTAGAACCACAGCCGCTACAACCGGGCCATCCGACAGATCCGAGGGATGGTGTAGACAGCATTGGGTGAAATGGTTGATGTTGCTTGGGGGCGGGTGAAGACAATTTTGCGCTGTGTTGAATACCTGAAAGTAAAAATTTTGCACACCATATGTACCTGTAGGCTCGCGTCAAGCCGCTGTCAAAAGGACTGGTCGACGAAATGAAGGAAAGTCGGCAGCAAGCTTCAATACAGATATTTCTGTGACGTAAGCACGAGGGAGGCCGATTTTGTACACGGTCTCATTACCGGAGACGGAATGTGAGCTAGCCAACACGAGTCAGAATCCAAGAAAAGTATATGGAGTGCTTGCGTGCATCGCGCGAGCCAATAAAGCAATTAAAAAAAGAGGAGAATTGCTTATCCGGTAAAATCATGGTCAGTGCTCCTTGGAACGCAAAGGGAATGCTTCATTCCTGGCGCACGCCTAAGAGCGCCGCAGGCACCTCTGCTGGGTACGTTGAGACCCAAAGAGGCTGAGGAAAAGGCTTGATGAAGTCTTGTGCGTTGTAGATTATCTACAACACCGCAACGCCCATCATTGTACAATAGATCATCATCCGTCGCAGCAACGCGCGACCCCGCATAAGAGCGCAGACAACGGTAGCATTTAGGGAGCTTAACATCCAGGTGGTTGATCTTCTGCTTTACGCCACCGTTCTGGCTGCGTGTGGCTACTACCTGTTTTCAAGCTGAACAAGCGTCTTTGGAAGTGCAAGACTCCTCTGAAAGCGAACTGGAGACAGCTGTAAAAGTCTGGCTCGAGTCAGTTCGCCTTCTTTTTTTCTGCGAAGACCACGTCAAACCCCCCAAGTGGCTCCAAGTATGCCTGTACCGTTATGGGCGCCACTTTCGATAGAAAACCTGAGGTAAAAGCGATTTTAAAAGCATACGCCATGTTTTTGCTTCAGGTGGATATCTCTCACGGTCTCCAAGTCACATAAATAGAAGCATTTCTTTGTAGCAGCACAACGTTTATGATTCATTTAGAGATAGCGGTTATTTGATTCACGGGCGATGTGGCCAGGTTGGTGCCGTTTCTAAATATATATCAGCCAAACACTGCCAACGGAACAGGGATCCGCGATCGTAGCGCACAGCATGCCGACACGTCAGACGCTGTGCCCTGCTTTCAGACACGGAACGGCGGACTGGTCATGGTGAACTTTTACTCGGAGTTTATCAGCTGCGACCACAACGCCACTCTCTTGGATGTGGTTGGTGAGTCAACATCCCTGCGCCCTGATGATGTCACGACAGCGATGCCGGAGGGCATGGGGGGAACCGATGCGGTTTGGAATATAATTATGCCCAGCAATGTAGCGTTATCGCGCTGCGCACTGGCGTCTGTGGTCTGGAGGTGAGCATGGCAATGGGCCTCGCATCTGCACCCGAACTGGTGCAGCACAGTAGTCAGCATATGATCTCAGCACTGATACATCGTCTGAGGGCATGGCTCGACACCATCGCTTCCTTGTATTGCTACACTTCCACCAAATCTTTGGGTCGGTGGTGGTGGAGCGGCCAGCCGGACAAAGGCGGGTTGATCTGCAGGACGGAGCAGCGGGTGCCAGTGGCGACGCGCGAGACCAACTACCGCCTGCAAATCAATCATTAAGTGACCGCCATGTTCCGTTTAGAACGAGCGTGGTAGCACCGTAACGTGCCTTCACCGAGTTGTGCGCAGGATGGCTGAGCCCGTCGATGCGGGTGGTGTGGCCGATGTGAGTGTTTTGTACACAGCGTTACTCGTCAACCAAGCTCAGGCCGTCACATCGTGCTTAATAGCACAATTTCACTGTCCTCGAGGTGAAAAAGCAGCAAAATAATTTGCCTGTTGAAAATGAAGAGCCTGAGATCCGAGGACTTTTCAGCTTTGGCCGTGGCTTGGGCTGTATTTTGTCCCGGCTATGCCTCTTTCTCAAGTGCAACAACCTCTCCCCCCCCTTCACGGACAAAATCCAGTGGCGCCGCCCTGGGGGGGGGGGGGGGGGGGGGCACAGCTGGCTTCCTGATCTTGGGTAATGGCTGAAGAAGAAAAAACAAAATGGCAACAACCACCGCACTCTGCACTGCATATTACAGCCTTTGCACCACTGCGCGTATCGCAAAGGCTTCTCCGGCGGTTCTTCCACCGAGCTGGTGAGGTCATCCACATCGTTGCCTCTGCTGACTGTGATGCTCTGAGTCGGCCTGTGTGTGTGTGTGTGTGTGTGTGTGTGTGGTGTGTGTGTGTGTGTGTGTGTGTGTGTGTGTGTGTGTGTGTGTGTGTGTGTGTGTGTGTGTGGTGTGTGTGTGTGTGTGTGTGTGTGTGTGTGTGTGTGTGTGTGTGTGTGTGTGTGTGTGTGTGTGTGTGTGTGGTGTGTGTGTGTGTGTGTGTGTGTGTGTGTGTGTGTGTGTGTGTGTGTGTGTGTGTGTTGTGTGTGTGTGTGTGTGTGTGTGTGTGTGTGTGTGTGTGTGTGTGTGTGTGTGTGTGTGTGTGTGTGTGTGTGTGTGTGTGTGTGTGTGTGTGTGTGTGTGTGTGCTGTGCTGTGTGTGTGTGTGTGTGTGTGTGTGTGTGTGTGTGTGTGTGTGTGTGTGTGTGTGTGTGTGTGTGTGTGTGTGTGTGTGTGTGTGTGTGTGTGCACGGGGGAGGGGCGAACTTTCAGGAGTCCCCCTGATCGCGAGAACCACGGCCTATAGAGAGAAGCACCCGTTTCCACCTTGGCTTTATTGTTGATGAATAACAAGGCCACCTGTGGCATATTTGGTCAAATAGTAGACTTTACAATTGAGCAACCAAATGGTACGTAATGACATAATCATGTGTATTCAAGGTTGTTGCATAGAACATACATCATTAAAGCAAATTTCTATCGATACATTGACACATCTGAAGTCATATAAGATCAGACAGCGGGGCAATACAAAGGGTTCGGAACAGATACGACAATCGGGGAGGAGAGACCAATCACGCACGCTGTTCGGTAGCGATGCCTAATACCTTGTTGCCTAAACTGATGATAGCTGTGTCAAGATGAAGTAGCTTAGCTGTTTTTTACCTGACCTCATGTTGTGTGTAAATTGTTTGTAGCAACCCTATAAGCATTCTCATGCAGACTTCAAGGCGACCCAACTTATGTTTTTGGTATGACAAACAAGCGTAACTGCAAATGCGGCCAAAACAGATCAGGTCAAAATAGAAATTTGTTCATGCTGGGATAACACGAATGCATGCCATGTGCACACACATCATAAAAGTGGACAAACATGAGGCAACAAATGTTTATTGTAAAGTCATGTCCGCTTATCTTTTGCTGACCTGACATTAGATCACATTTAATTTTCATGTAATAATACATCTCGTCTGGAAGGCGAAATACCGGTGTTTCTGACAATTTCAATACATGCCAGATCAAACAAGGTCGAGTAAGGTCAGCATGTTATAGGTGACCGCTGTGACCCCTTAAGTACTGGCAAATATTTTTAGAATTATTTCAGTCTACGCTCTTATGAAACGGCAGTTTAATGCTCACAAAAGCGGACAGAAAGTTCATGGTCATTTTGACCTGGCCAATTCAATGACCTTGGAAATATGCGTCATATCTCAAAGTATTTTTCAGACGCCTCCAATGCAGTCTATAATCAAAAGATCCCAGCAGTCTCATCGTTTCCCGCAAGAATCGGACAGGGCAGAAAGAATGCATGGCCTCAGACTAATAATCTAGAGGCATCTCAAAATTTGTCGCAAATTACTGTGGTTACTTCAACTTGGGCATTCCTTCCTGCAACTGTGTAATTATTTGCCATGATCTTTGCGTGATACCGATCGATTGTGATCACAATGAACGGCGGCACTCGGCATATTTTGGAACGCGAACTTCATGGACCCATGTCAGGGTGAAGACTTGCAGTGATACTGACTCTGTATGATTCTGGATGCAAAAAGATGCACACACATGTACTGAGCGTTTCACTAACTTACAGGCGTGTGTTCTCGTGTTATCATCGAAAGACCTGGCGGGAGGGGGGGGGGGGTTCTAGAACCCCCGCGGGGCGGGTTAACTCCGGGTGTGGTTCCGTGTTACAGCTCACCTTAACTACATACGGGCTGTAGCGGGCATCGACCACGTCGGTTTGGGTGCTGGTTACGACGGGATCAACTGGTGAGTGCTGAATGCAGCTTGGGACGCCACGAATCAGAAGTCCTTTACGTGAGAGCCAAATATTTTCCAAAAGCCACTTCAGCTTATTGATTGGAACCGGTCTTTTGAAAACATTTGTTAAATGTATGTGAATTGCTTTTAAACGCTTAAAGGCGTGTCGGCCAGTTGTGTGGGAATGCTCGTGGTATATCGCTTTGAAAGGTTTCTTTTGTTCCAAAGTGGTATTGTGACTCAAACAAGCTGCTTACAGCTTGAATTTGAAGCTGAAACAACGTCAAGCGCGAATATTGAATCACAATTTTTCAAAGCACCTCAAATGTTTCGGAAAAAGGCAAGTGATTTGTCCAAAAAACACTCGGCAGTTGTGAGCACTGAGACAACATCCATCAAATCAATCAAGCATTTCGAAATATGCGTCGACAAGCCGCGTATTTCAATTTGTGATGTAGTTTGTGGTGATATTTGGTTCGTTTGCCACACACGACTGTTTTTTTAAAATCAGTTATGTTTGTTTAGGCATTTCGGAGCATTGATGCTAACAAATCATGTGCAAATATTTTTGCGATATTGTAAGACATTTGGAGCAACAGGCTTTCATAAGAACGGTTATCTGTAAACAATGTATAACTGCGTGTGATGCTATGGATAGGTAGTGATATGGCGATGGCTGGTATTGTATGATCTTTATGGCGTGGGTATACAAGAGGTGCCAGCCCATGAGCCTTTCAATCCCTAGAACTAGATATATGAATATGTACACACATATATATATATATATGCATATATTAAAAATATATAAACAGATTATATATATATATATATATATATATATATATATATATATATATATAATGCAAAGCCAAAGCGCAGCACTACCAAAGGGCCACAAGACCGGTCTTGCTCGGCCGTCTGTCATCTACGCTGTCCATTGCCCGTCGCCAAAAAAGTGTGCGTCCGTGGGGCTCGCACACTTTGCCGGCAGGGAATGTGGACCCAGCATCGTCCTCAGACCGCGGCGCCGGTAAGCTGAGGTGGCCTTAATGCTCGTGCCATGACCCGTGCAGGACCCCTCGCGGTCTGGAGGACGTCTCGATGTACCCGCATCTGTTCGCTGAGCTCCTGATGGACGCTTCTTGGACGGAGATGGACCTCAAGAAGCTGGCAGGACTAAACTTCCTTCGGGTCTTTCGGCAGGTGGAGGAGGTAGGGCCTTGACAACTAACTCACCATGACTGCTCTGTGCCGACTCTGCCTGCTTGTTGAAAGGGCCATCGGGAATTAAATCACAACTGATTTATAAAATACAGTATGCGTCAATCTTCCGATCACGCAGACTTAATTTGCGGACATGCAAGCATCGTACAGCGGAAGTAAAAGCGACTCCTTGATAGCTCGTAGAGAAGATATCGCTATTGCGCTGAACGCCAATCTTCGACGGGCAGAAGTGGTCTTTGAAAATAGAAACGTTCTTGCAAAAAGGAACTGGAGATTCACATTCATCATTCGGAGCCCATTTCTCTGCGGAGATTTTTGGCCCGACCATAATAGTTCCATAATAGACTGCGTTTCTCGCCGAAGCCTTCCAAACGTAATCGCCGGCTTCATTGAGAGAATTTATAGAGCAAAAAGGTTCCGCGTTCCATCGCTGCTATTTGGATGAAGATATCGATGTCAGGATGGCTAGAAGTTTAAGTTACTGATTTCCGAAAATGGAAATTAAAAGTCACCACTCGCGTTTCAATCTCGGCGATCTGAGCAATATATATCTGCTCCACCTGAGTTACGATGATTCCTACGCCGGCGCACGGAAGTTATGTGTGGTGGAGCCACGCAGTGCATTGGTCCTTTTTGCGATTAATTCAATCATATGATAATCAGTCTGTGACATGAAACGAAATTTAAGGTTATGAGCTGTTGAGATATGCACATGGCCTCAACCGCCTGGCTGAAATGAAGACAGATCATTAATTGAGATGACTTGAACAGTCAGTGATTGCGCCTTTCTACGAAAGGGCTGTTTTCAACGGATCATACCAGAATTTCGTCAGCGTGGTACGTTTTGTACTGAATGATCGCATTCCTAAGCACCGCCACTGCAGCTAACAAGCTGATGTGGATGTCCCTTTGCTTTCGCTACGTTCGATCTTGCTACCTCCCGTGCATCTGCGCGACTGTACCTGTGATGATAATCTCAAACCTCTACCCAGACCCTGCCTGATGACCCGAAGCCTCTATAGTGGCTCAGACCAGTCTGAGATGACTCGAAACCAGGATAACGACGGTGATGGTCTGGTGGTGGTGATGACGATGGTCTTATGATGGTGATCTGGTGATGATGACGACGATGGTCTCTTGCTGGTACTGGTCTTGTGATGATGATGGTGATGGTGCTGGTGCTAGTGATGGCGATGGTCTGGCGATGGTGACGGTGATGGCCTAGTCATGGCAATGTTATGGTGATGGTGATGGTCTAGTGATGGTGATGGTCTGGTGATGGTGATGGCGATGGTCTCGTGATGATGACCTTGATGGCTGGTGATGTCAATGGTGATGGTCCGATAATGGTGATGGTGTGTTGGTCGTGATGGTGATGGTCTGATGATGATGACAGTGATGGTCTGGTGATGGTGATAGTGATTCTCTGGTGATGATGACGGTGATGGTCTGGTGACCCGATGGCGTCCGCCGACCCGGGTTCGTGCTAACAGGCCAGGAGCATTCTGGGGATCGGTGAGCCCTCTACGCCCCGTCAACCCTCTAAGATCGTGTGTCTGTAATCGCCATGGTAGCGCTCTGAGATCATGGCACAACCGGGATTCGAACCTGGGCCCTCACGTGGGAGACCGGCTCTAACCATTCGGCCGTTTCGCCGCCCTGAGGCCACGTGCCCTCACTGACAGGTGAGCCGCCAGATGACCGCCGAGCAGGTGACTGCCAGCGAGGAGCGCGTCGACCCCCGCCAGCTGCTCTTCTCCAGCGCCGCCCGCTGCAGCTACGACCTCACCGAGGCGCTCAGCAAACGCGCACCGAAGAGCACAGAGTTGTGATGCGCTCGGTGTGATGCGCTCGGCAGACGGCCGTCCGCGGTACGCGGCCCTGGACATGACGTCACAGTTCAGACCGCCGCGGAACAGCGGCCAGTCAGCGACCAAAACTGTGGCAAAGCGTCGAGTAGTGACGTCACAGCCTGGCGCGATGACTAAGCGTGAGGTGACGCAACTCTGGTGCTTGGCAGGCGTGAAGTGACACGTTTGTTTGGGCATCTGATGCGTTTGTTCCGGTGTTTTCTACGTGTCAGAGACGGCACGATTGGTTCCGGCGCGTGCTTCGGTGTACGTCGTTCAAGCAGTTCCATCCCTTTTCCAGATCACCCAAAAAGTGACTAGCGAAACGTGTGCGGCTCAGCACGCATGGGAAACTGTCTGTGTATGCTAGTCGGGAGTAAGTGGTTCAGGCACTTGTGAATTTTGTTTTTTTCTTGGATGATGACGTCATCTGAGAGCATCGCCTGAGGACAATGCGCTTCCTTACCACAATCACGCCATGTGCTATGATGTGACGAATGACTGCAATGGTTAGGGGACAAAGAAAGAGTAGATGTGAAGAACAGGGAGAAAGAGAGATGAAGAGTGGGGGAGATAGAGAGAAGAGATAGTCACCGCGCGAGCAGGAGATAAAATGGAGGGATGAAGAGGTAAAAGAAAAAGCAAAAGCGATAGCGATAGAAGGATAGGTGTGATTGTGCACTGGCTGCAAACATGCTTTAAAAAGCGGCAGTGTTTTAAGGACATGAAACCTAGGCGGCCCAAATTGTGTATACAACACTTCACATGACAGTGTGTCTTATGAGCCTTTGTTTTGCAACGGGCTTGTGTATCTAAACTTGCGCTCTCAGCCAAATGACATTTATGGTTTTGTATTGACCAGTTCAAGAAACCGAGAGTGAATATCATGCAAAAACTCTAGTTGGAAGCTGATAGCTCCTTCAAATATATAATAGCCATTGCTCTTCCAAACTCGCCGTGGGAAAGCTGACATTACCTAACAGTGGTGTTGTCATCTGAACAGTGGGATGTTTCCAAATGATCATGCAGCCTGGGACTGACTTACGCTCAAACATCCCTGTAAAGTAAAGGAATGCCTTATGGCAAGTGTTCCCTAATCGCCCTGGCATACAACGTGCCGGTCACCCCATACGAAATGTCAGTGAGCAGAAGGCGATGGAAATGGGAAACAGTTCTGTAAACTCCGGTCGGGTCGTTATGCTGCTGTTGAGACGAGTAGGTCAAGGGATCAGCAGAGCGCGTGGCTGATTCTGTTCAATTTCCTGCTTTAGCGTCTTGTCGGGGGCAGTTGCCTTTGGCAATTTGTGCCCATCAACCACTGCTGTACCGACGAAACATTCCAGAATACGTATTTTCCCTCACGTGTGAGTTGTAAATATGCGGTAATTTTACGGCAGCTTGGGTACAAAGCCCTTACTCAAATTTAACCCATGACATGGCACGTTGGACTTGTGTTCAGGTTTGGAATCACCACAGACGTTTGTAACAACTCACCCACGAGCTCACCAGGCCTACGATTGTATGTGGCTCATTGTGCCAATGAGCATGGCATGCTGTTTCCTCACTCAATAAGTGACAATATGTCTGAAAGCGGGAAGGGATCAAATTTACTAATTGCGTTCCATTGCTCTGGCATGACCCAGCAAAGGCGACCCGTACTGGTATTTCAGTGGCGCTAATGTCATGATGTCATACGCGGGTCATAATGTCATAATGTCATACGCGGGTCATGATGTCATAGCGTCATACGTGGGCCATACGATGATGCTCTCTTTTTTGGCTATAGAACGGAAGTTTTCAAGTAAGCAAGGTCTGTGAAGTGAAGCGAAGATGAAAAAGCCCACACCTGGTGGGAGATGGTCTCCCTATCACCAAACAGTCATGACCACATTTTGGGGTCGCCTCCTTACCCTCACATAGCTCCTTAGTACCCTAAATCCCATTCGTCAGTGTGGTAGGGCAATTGTCGAAAAAACGGTATTGTGATATAGAGCGCCATGGAAGGGGTTTAACGAGAAATATAAGTTTTTAATAGACAAAATCATGCTTAAGTTGGCAGCCATCTCTACATAATAATGTCTATGAAATATATTTTCGGGGTTTCGAAAGATCCGTTTTCAACTTGTAACTCATTTTAACCTAACTTGTTGACCTAAAGGTATGAGTATTGATGCACTGATTCAGTTTATTTGCTACCATAGGAGCTGAGCTACGCAGTCATTCATTTCATATTTAATTTTTCACGCCTCGTTTTTGTCACCATATGAAGTGCTCCTCTCTTGGAAAGAAGAGTTGACCTAGCGCTCTGGTTGGTTTCTCCTAGCGATTTTCTTCTCCAGGGATGAGCTTTGTCATCGTAAAGCTGTACTAGAAACCTGCTTTGCTCGTCCTGACGCATACGCACACATATGGGACACATGAAACGTTTACTCATGTCGTGTGAGTTTTGAGGTCGTCCGTGTGTTGGGACGCACGTTGTCACGACAATGGACCTGATCCCGTGGGCAAGTCTTTCATTGCAACTCTAGGTCGTACGATGTGGACCTATTTTTCATCGTTGTAACTCCTTTGTAACATTTTTATAGATACATAGAATAAATCGATGCCTGTCGAATGCTTTCCATTTTCACCATCAGCGAACGGCGTCGAAGATGGTGCCTGGGAAATGAGCATGTACATGTCATGTAATGCCAACATGTCACGTAATGACGAGGCATGAAACTGCCCTGGCGCTAACTACGAACCAACAACGGTGCAGATGTTTTCATTTGTGTAGCGACACGAACACGCTGTCTCCCACGAGCTGCCCCAGCGGAGTCCCGCATTGTCCTCTGTTACAAACACAGAAGGCTATAAATTATTGCAAAACTGCCATCGGTTCTGTGTGACTTGCATTGTACCGTGAGTACCGAAAAATGGCGGTCCTGGTCGCAACTGCATCAAATTCACTTGGTAGCAAGGTCTTGAGCCCCTGGTTTTTCGGCATTATGCTGCAAATAATCGATATACCGATATACAAAGCCGTACCGGCTAAACGACGCTACCAAGCAGGCGTTTATCACATTGAGCAAACATGACGTTGCGAAGATGTGCTCACGGTCACGAATGAACAACGCCAAGCAAAAGTAGCGTCAGCGTCTAGACCACGTGACGGAATGCTCGGCCCGTAGCGGAAGCGGTGCGGACGGCTCTGAACCGCCAGAGATAGCGAGGTGCCCGGCTGTGCGCGCATCCTCCGAGAGGCCAGGCTGGGCAGCCGAGAGTCGGAGACGGGTGCTCACTGACGTTAGTGCTGGAAGCCAACATGGCAACCATGGCAGGTAAGGCACCGCGCGGTGTTAAGCAGCCGCTACTGCATGATAGTCATGACCAGCTCACGCCCAACACGCGACTTGTCCAGGGAAGTGACCCTGAAACACAGGACGAATTCGCAAAGCCGTCATTTGCGATAGGTTCTGCGCTATTCTCAGCTGACTATGTGTAGCGTGGTCCTCCAGTCTTGCCACTTCATGATCTATAGTGCGGTGCGTGATTGCCCGATATCATCAGTGGTGCGGTCCAGTAACACCACCGTATTCTGCATCGCACGTGATCGTTGCGATCGCTCCCATCAGTAACTTTTGGCGAGTGTCGGCGACCTGTCACAGATATGCACATGCATGATAGGCTCCCAAATTTTGTTACACGCTGCAGACTAAGGTTCCCGGGTTTCACATGCAACCCTGATGTCAGATCAGATAGTTCAGCTGGTGTGAGCGTCTGTTTTTCAATCAACCTACTTGTGGCGGATGACTTCCACTAGCTTGAAGCGTTCGCTATTTTCTATTCACTGTGATGTCCCGCGGCATTTAGCATCAGCCACGCTTAAAGATGACAGAGGATAGGCCAGACTATGCCAAACATTGTAGTAAAATAAACTTTCGCCGCCAAATTCTGCCGTTGACTTGGAATTTCACGATCGCATGATGGGATCAGGGGTCACGTGACGAGTATCGTTTAGCGTGAACTCTAATCCCAGACATTCATCCATTCAAAAGATTTGGACTGTATGACGAAACATCCAGTCATGGTAATCAGGCTGTTCTTTTCAGCTAGATTTCCGTGCATCCACACACCGTGTGTCATCGCCGCTCGTGATTTTTGGGCGATTTCTTTCAGGTGTACCGATCAGTCAGCTACTCTCATTGATCCTACTGCTGCCGCTGGTGGCTGTCACCCAGGCAGCTGACGATCTGATCAAGATTGGAAACAAAACGCTATCCAGCATTGGACCAAGCATATCTGGCATGGAAGAGGTTTGGAAATGAGATATCAAAGTCAATATGTCTTCCGCAGCCGTCCGGCCTTGATATCTGCAAACAGTGTTTATTTTCGCCATGAAACTATCGTGATAGTTATGCAATATGTGTGTAGAACACGGTAATTTAATACTCGCCTCGATTCACCTTTTGATAGCGCGGAATGATAGAGGAGGGGACCGATGCGCCACCTCTTCGGTTTCCAAACTAGGAACAATAGAGCTTAGCAAAAAACATAAGTGGTTTGGCCTTAACGAAATGCTGGGATTGACAGTAACTTGCATGTTCCTAGACCAGCAGTTGAACCCATTATGCCAGGTCAAATGTCAAATGTTCCAGGAAGTCAAACTTTTCAGGCTTACATGCTCATATGTACGAGACCATGACTCGTAGCAAACATAAAATATAAAAAGACGTGCCTTATGTTCAATTCTGAAAACGTCCAATTTCCTGCCCCTTGGTGGTTCTCATAAGCATATAATCCGCAAGGCCCAAATTCTTAAAGCCAATGCCCATAACACCCGGCGAACACGACGTCCAAACTTAATTTTGGTTTACGCCGCTAGATGGCACAAAAGAGGCACAAACTATCGTTTGTGCCTCTTTTGCCAACAGACGTCTTGAACAGCCCGGGGTTCAAAGTGTGACTGTGTGATAGGTGCAATAAACACGGTTCCAAAAAGGGACTGCAGTGTCTGGCAGCTGGTGGTCTTACATTCTGTCTCAGCATAGGTTTCGTGCCATGAGTGAACCTATGCCCCGCTGGCATCCGCTTATTCATGATGCATCGTTAGGCCTAGAGCACTTCACCCAAGGCAATCATTTAACTAAACCCCATCTATGCCGCCTCCTTACTTTGGTTCAAAGGCCGAACATTGTCTCCAATCAGCCATTGCCACCAATTGCTTCTCTGGATAAAATCATTATACTCTGCGAATCAATGAATTCTTCATTTAAGTATATATATATATATATATATATATATATATATATATATATATATATATATATACATATATAACGCAGTTTTGCAACACCTCAGTCAAACAACCATCATCACAATATTTACAGATTCTTAATCGTGCATAATAGCCCTTTAGACACGTGATGTGCAATCTGTAATCACAATTGCCTGCCAGAAATCAAGTCAAGCTTATGGATCGCAGTCATTGTCGGGTGACAAAGTACGTCTCACCGCTATAATGCGTGGCTCGTTTTTTTCGGAATGCGTTATTAGCCTCCATGCGGTAATCCCCCATGCCATTTTTTCGGCGTAGATCTGACCACGTGCCACTTTCGGTCCACGGCTGCAAATCCCCATGTCAGATTCCACAAAGTGTATTTTTAATGTACAGTGAGCTTTTCGCTCGAACATGTCTGGGGCCTCCGTAGCAAGTCCTAGGCGTATCCTCCGTCGAAATCAATAGGTACACACCAGTGTCTTTCTCTCTCGTAACGTATCACGCTCAACACCGCCAATGTCAGGATGCTTAACATGATACTCAATATACAACGCCTACTTTATCGCGAATCTCCTTTCAAGGTTATTTGTAAAATGCACCGCACACTGGTCTCTGCTGTGGTAAGCGCACACTGTGCCCCTACCTCCATTGCCAAAGGCGTAACAAACAGATAAAAGACACCAAGCATATCTGAAACTATTGTTATCGCGTCCATATCATATAAATGTTGTGCTTTGGACACAAGTTATACTCTACTGCTATGGAAATCACTACAAAGTTAATGTCTGTCTGGTGGGTGACATTGATTGGGCTCGCGTCGGTGGTGCACTTGAGCACTGCATCAACATGACACATATCCGTCATTGGGTTCTCCGCGCGTAACATTTTCCACCGTATTTCATTACCCAAACATATACATGAAAACAGCAATAATGAAAGAAGCCAACAGCTGCGCCGACATAAGCTCTTAGGAATTGTGTATTCCATCATTCAGTGGCGACCCCTGCAACATGCAGCATCATCACCAAAAGCACGCGCGGATTTTTCACAAACTAGATACGCCTCAGGTCATCGCTCCCATCAGGAAAATGAGTTGTGAATCATTAACAATGCAATAAAAAGGGAACCAACACCGCGGAGGATTTTATCCACAGTCCGCGTGCCGCTGCTCCCAAGTAACCAGAGATCTTACAGGTCATACATCGAAGATCAGGTCTAAATTCTAAGATTTGCCTGCTACCGAACACGTGCTGACCGCGTGAAGTTCGCGTGCATGCACAAAATGCCGCTCATGCTCATGCATAGTGGCATTAACTGGGCGGCACTATACTGGAGCATACCCTTCATTGGCATAGCAAAACAATATCGGCCACGGGTCCCTTCGTCGTGTAAGAACCAAACCAACAGTTTAAGATTGCCCTGGATGTAACAAACACTGTTTTGCACGTTTTGGACGTCATGAGCGCTGAATGTTATGAACTTTGAATGTCACCATATTAGATGTCGCAAGTTTGCATGTTGCGAGTCTCCTCTCCCTACCATTTGACGATTTTTGGACGCGATGAACGCAGGATGCTGCGATTTTGGATGTTTTGACCATTGGGCATTATTAATTCTGGATGTATCGATAAGCATTCTACACATAATACACAAAGCTTCTGCAGCCTCTTTAAAGCTAGTTCTACTCCTGCAGGTATGTTGTGAAAATTGTTCTGAATGCTCGGGTGAACACACACACACACACACACACACACACACACACACACACACACACACACACACACACACACACACACACACACACACACACCACACACACACACACACACACACACACACACACATATATATATATATATATATATATATATATATATATATATATATATATATATATATATATATATATATATATAAATGTCATACTTACGAGGTGTGCAACAACATTCCTCCTGTTTGCCCAAAATGGGTTTCTCTCGCTCCAACTTGTAAACAAGGCATGTTCTTCACGTTTTCGTATTCAAAATTTCAGGTTTTAACCAAGATATCCTCCAGCTTCTGGTCTGACTACCCAAAATTTGGTTTCTATGCATTCTCAAAGATGTGATCGCACCCATGAACATAATTACATATACGTATATATATATATATATATATATATATATATATATATATATATATATATCCCTCCCTCCCTCTCTCTCTCTCTCTATCTCTCTCTCTCTCCTCTCTCTAGTATCTCCTATGCTCTCTCTCTCTCTCTCTCTCTCTCTCGCAGAGATTCCTCCTCTCTCTCTGCTGTAGTCTCTCCTCTGTGCAAAGTAGAATGCTGTGTGCATAACCCGTCGAGTAGGAGTTCAACTTGGACACACTGTCGTTTAAAGCCTCAAATAAGATGGCTTGACTTTGTTTTCCCCCAAACGGAACCTGCGTCTGTTCCCCTGATGTGGGTACATGTTTTCAGGCGACACGACTGGAGATAATCAACTGCAACATTAAAGAGGTCGAAGAGGACGTCTTCCTTTTGCACCATAGGCTGCGGATGCTGAGGATCGCAAACACCACTATACACCACTGGAGACATAATAACCTTAGTTCCTTTAGATACATAAGCTTCGACAGGAGCACGATCATGGAACTGCACACGAGTGGCATACATTTTGCAGGTCTGGATTTGGTGGATCCACATTTTTTTGATTTGCTTACGCGTAGCACTTTGGTTAGAGTTGCATTTGATTCCTCTACGATTGCTGTAATGAACAGCAATGCAATTGATCTTCGCGGGGCGGAGCGCTGGGCATGGTTGGACATGATTCGGTGTAGAATAAAAAGTTTGGAAAATAGGGCAGTACAACTAAACCGAGGGCACACTTTTAGCATGACACAAAACACCATCGAAGTGATACACACTGCAGCTTTTGCTGGCGTCTGCAGCAAACAGGTACGTTTCAGACAAAACGCTATCAAAACTTTGGAGCCCCACTCCATCTTTTTTGGAAACGATACCTGTAGAAGGGAACGGAGCCTCTCGAAATTCAGAAGAATTCCCTACAAAATATCTGCTAACACACTGACTTGCGGACCTCAGCTGGACTGGCTGCGGGTGTCCGACGACAGCTGGCTCCCGAAGTTTGAGCGAGAGGACTACGCCGCGTTCCGCCAGACATCGGTGTGTGCTGGACCGACGCCGCGCACGCCCGTGTGGCAGTACTTGAACACCACCGACAGAGTCGACTCGGCTCGGCTGGCTCGATTACCGTCCACATCAGCACGACCGGAGCCCGAGAGGACGCAGCGGGAGCCGCGCTGGCGTCTGCCGGCGATTGTCGCTGCCGTCACCGCCGTGCTCACCAGCGTTGTCAACTTGGTCGGCGTCTGGCTGTGCGTCAGCTGCAGACGACGCAGGCAGCAGGCAGCGGTGGCGGCGGAGACGGATGCGGAGACCTTGCAGCTGGCGAGTTCTGACCGGCGCGCAGACGGTGCGAAGTCCTTCATTCCACCGCAAGCTGCCCAGCCAGATGCGCTGGGAACTGCGGTGGATGCCCACAACCTTTACGCTGAACCCGACAGGTGAGTTTGTAATTAGCATAATAATTAGCATGTTTGTAATTAACTTGGCTACACGCGATTTTACGCCCGATTTAAGTGTAATGTTAGCGGGTGCAGTTTCTAGCTTTTCTCGTGCAGTGGTGCCAGGTACAGTGGTATCATCTAGGCGCCGCGTCCGGATCGTCCCATGCACAATGCGCGCAGCGTTCCACCGGACTCGTCGGCCTCGATCCATGACAGGACTCTCGCCTGCCGTCTGCGTGAGCACGCGAGCTCTGTTTGGCACAGGCTCGTCACGCGCGGGACTGTTTGGCAGGGAATCGTCACATCTGTACGAGACACCCACCTGGCTTCCGGAGTACGTGAATGTGGGAGCGTATGGCGTTCCCGCCCGGCCTCCCATCGAGACACGTCCCACCCGGCCTCCCATCGAGACACGTCCCGCCGGGCAGGGCGAGACGCGCCGCTACGAGAACCTCCACCGCCTGCGCCTGGCCCAACGCAAATAGGTCTTGTGCTGTGCTCGGAGACCGCCAGAGTACTGACCTAGGGCTCGCACGCCGACCAGCCGGCGGCGATTTTGCACACGATGCGTATTCTCGTACGAGATTATGACATGCGAAAATGTAAGGGAATTGGCGGCTCTCATCAGCTCGCCTACTCCCGCCGTCGCCAGCTAAAGCACTGATCCTGTCATCCTTGGTGCGCGCGATAATATGCTTTTCTCCGGCAAAAATAATCGTATGTATCCCCTCTATATCGTGATTAGATGGCTGTTGTGCTGATTTCTTGGCCATGTCTCCTCCAATATTTGTATATGGTGTACATATTTGTATATGTTGTCATCAAACTTGCTCAATATTGGTCTACCAACAGCCTACAAGAACGATATTTTTCACGATGTGCTTCTGACTTAGTATATTTTACATACATATTACATATTTATTATACATATTTTATCATTATACATTGCATATTATATATACATCATCATATTATATACATCATATTATACATCATTATACATATTTTGTATACATATATGTATGCGTGTGAGTGTATATTACCCTTCAGTGTATGTGTTAAAGCCGTATATATATATATATATATATATATATATATATATATATATATATATATATGTATACTCAAACTGTCCTGTTTGTGCGCAGGAAAGTTGTGTTTGATTGTGTTTGCTGTGACCATGGCCATGTCTAGCGATGTCTTCAATACACCTTTATTTCATTGCAGCTTTATGGTTTGTATGCTGATGATGATAAACACTTGTATTGTCAAGTTGTCAAGAAACGTTGTCAAGTTACATAAATGATAGCGCTTGCTGTGCTCACCGTCAAGTTGGTATTGCCTCTGACAATCCGGGAATATATATATATATATATATATATATATATATATATATATATGTATATATATATATACACACATACATACATATATATATATATATATATACATATATATGTATATATAGGTATGTATGTATATATTTGACTGCAAACTACCGTTGGTCCGCATTAATAAGCTTCTTGATGCGTCGTTCGAGGCTCCAGGCTTTCGACTTAGCAATATCGTAAAGGTAAAATATCGCTCGTACAAAATCATTGATACAGTCGTGGATGCATTTACATTCCAACGTTTCGAGACATTTTCTCATCGTTAGAGAGCTACAAACGGCATAAGTGATAGGTGTTGAACTTATAAGGACCAAAGTTGGGCACCGCTTTCTTAGTATATATTTCATATACGGAAAAGAGAGATATACGGAGAAGACAGATACCTGAATGGTTGGTCAGATGCACATAAAATGCATCCGTCATGGAAACACTACGGAGACATATAGCCACGTCAGATGAACATTAGCCACTGCACATCACCTAATGACTTAAGAGTTGTGCAAGAATGCGCTTGCTCGCTTAGGCATCGGGAGACTTTACTGATATCTATACTTTCCTAAATTAGAAGGCGACATCTGTTATGGCGTTCTGGAAGATGTCAGTGTTTTCAATCATTATTTGCCGTGTCAATGTCCTGTGATGTTCGTGTCGCATGTTCCCCAAAGTTGCCTGATCGCGTAAGGGCGCTATCGGATGTGAGGGTGCCGTTGTGATTACGCCAATGTAGTGTACAGGACAAAGTTCGCGGCGTCCGAGATTTGATTTGAGTTCATACACTACCTTGGTGCATTTTCGTTCGTGTAGTTTGCCGATGGTGTTTCTCATAAAGTGCTGGAAATTTTCTTGTCAATTTATTGAACTGCAATGCTACCAAGCCAGATGCAAGAATCCCTAAGCAGAGTCCCAGTCTTTATTGTGGGCCAGTGAAGTTAACTGAGAATAGATGAAGTAAAAATGCAGCGCCAGAGGTTTCAGTATATAACGCTGCGGTTGAAATGGCCATGGATGGGACCGGATCTTCTCTGGTCTCAGTTCAGTGTTTTGCGCAGAAAGGGTGCGGATATGCTGATAGCGCGATGCGGATATACTGATAGAGCCACATTTAAAGTTAAGACTCCCAGAGCTCTACAAATTTCAAAGCTCTCGACCCCGGATCCTTACGATTTTTCTCAAACGCATACCAATGATAGAGCTTGACATTCTGTTCCCGAGATGGTGCATATCGTATCGAGCACATCCAAAATTTGACTGTCAGAAGAGTGGGAAGTCCATGGTTGTTGTGTCTGACCATACGATTTGTCTCAAACTCGGTTTAACGGGAGTGTTTGATGCGTAGATTATGGTGCGGCATATCGGTCATACTTTTTAATGAAAACTTATTAACTCTAGAGGCCCGCAAATTTCAAAGCCATCGAAGCCGGCCTGCCTAAGTTTTTCTGAAACTTATCAACGACAGAGCTTCAGACGGTAATTTTTCTGAAAAAGTGGCTCGCAGCGAGATGTACCATAGCAATTAGTAAGTCAAGCTCTACCGCTGAGACGCATTTCAGAAAAATCGTACGGGTCCGGGTACAAGCACTTTGAACTTTGTAGACCTCTGCATTTCATAGTTTAGAACGTGTCGGGAAACGACGAGGGCCATCATTATCAGCATTTCAAGCACTACTTTTGGTATGAATCTGGACAAAATCGCAGCAAGACGTTTTTTGAGTGGTCATGCGAAAACAGAGGTGTCTTGACATCTGCCTCAGGTGCCTCAGGGACCATTGCACACGCATAACTCTACGGCAATGTATACCTTCGCTCCATGGGGGCTCACATTTGCAAGAGAATTTCCTTGAATGTTTGTTGGTGCTCGATTCATGATGGTAAGTCAGAAGGGATACGGATCCCAGCACACTGGTTTGGTTTTCGGTGTTTGTTATATATATATATATATATATATATATATATATAATCTATATGTTTAAACTTATAATTGCTGCTTCAGAAACGCAGATTAAAGGAAGTGTTCCACATTCAAACATACTGAGGCAAGTATCAGATATGTTGAATTCAGCTCACTTATAGCTATTGGCACGAGTTGAAGTGGGAAAGACTGTTAAAGGCGACATAATTTCTCTGTTCAGTAAATGTGCTACTCTACACATCCTTGTTTCATTGCGTCATCGTACTTTGTGTTTTATTATCTGTTCCTTCAAGCCTTCCCAGTCCAGGATCGCGCACACACGACGTCCCACAGTTGGCGGCTGTATTCGAACAGCCCCACGAAGTCCAACGGAATTGCGCCAAGGTACGGTGGCGCACAAGGTACAGCAGCGACGTGGGGGAACTGGCTACTAAATTATGGATGTTGTACATTTAAAATGTGACATGACATGGCACCTTGTGCAACGTTAATTGAGGGACAATTGGCGGTCATTATATCTGGAAAGCATGCTGATGGACGCCAGATAGGAACGACTCGACGATTATATGTTTATTGGCCTTGATCGCCGCATGACCTATGAAATGACAGGATTTGAGGACATTATTATAGCGTCATGGATGCCGGGGTGACCTTGAAATAGTGTCCCCGAAAAAGTATGTGCATATTCGCGGGCGTGATGCTCAGAAATTAGAGGGGTTTTGGTTTTAAGAAAGGCAGGGCTGTGGACTGCACCAAATGATCTTCAATGTAGCTATTTCAGTTCAAAACCCCATACAAATGTGGGGCAGTCACTTGAGATTGGGAAAGTCAGAAGAGAAATGAGATTCTAAGTAAAGCAAAATGCACCTTATAGGCTCAGTTCTCCCCTAAACTGAATAACCGAGGTGTCCCCTTAACTTTACTTCAGCAACTGACTACATCACATTTTTCATCTTTAACCCTCGCCCTGACTCGCCGTTTTTCTTGACGTTGAGTGATGCGGGCTGGGATCGGTGCGACTTCCCCTGGCGTTTCCAAATTAATGAAGAGAGAACTTTACGGACAGCACCAGCAGATTAGTCTGAAAAAGACCTCGCAGTTGATGCTAGTTTTGTTTTGCTAGGTTCATAACTGACGTCATTATGGCAGGTCAGCCGTCAAATTTTCCAGAAAATTGCATTCTTCAGTTTTACTTTACGTATTCCTACGATATTACAGATTTTGGCGGCACAAAACATAAACAGCGTGTTTGTTGTTCGATTTCTAACACAGTGGTGTATATTTTCATGTGTTTGGAGCATAGTTATGATATATTGCTCCTTAAATGCAGCAGCGTCAGCTCGTCACACGTTAAAAAACAACGTGCGGCGCCACGTAAAAAAACGCACATATAAAAAACACGCTCCGCGACATCTTCGGATATCGCCCGCCCGCCCGCCTCCTCCCGCCCCCCCCCCCCCCCCCCCCCCCCGCTCAGGCTGTAGATTGCCGTGCAACGCTCCTTAAAAACTGCCACTGCTCCGAAACCAGAGGAGCTAAGAACGTGCTTTGGCTGTCAAAATATGCGAAATACGTACCCCATAGACTTCTGAAAATTCGGACGCGTTGCACAACATTCAGAAGCATCCTCAAAACAACCTTAAGAGGTTGCCTTACTTTCCTATCAAGACAAGAGTTTACACTTGAACAACTTCTTACGTTTAGCTTTACGATTTTTCGATAGGTTTTAATAGGTTTCAACCGTACAAATGTCTCTTTGCCAAACATTTTGCTTGCACTGCTACCAGCATCACGAGATTGTCCTGCAGCCTGAGTTCCCATTGGCATTCGTTGAGCATGGTCCCCGCTTAGTAAGAAAACGCTGTAACTTTGTTTAAAGGACCGACCGCCTACTCGCACAAGAGCCCTGGTTGACATCTGTTCTGGTCATGTGCACCAGCAGCTACCACACCATAACGTAACAAGCACCGAAAACACTTTGCTTCAGGCAGCTAACTGCGTCAGAAAGTTCCAATGACAAGAATGACATAAGGCCTAAGCCTGGAGAAATCATCAGAGTGGGCGGAAAGTTTACGAGCATTCTTTTTGAGCGTGCTTGGTGTATGTTTAAGCACGGACACAAATCATCGTAGGGCTATTTTCAATACGCCCCGCAGTCGATGTTGCGTCGAAAAACCGTTTGGAAAATTGCTCAGGCTCTCCTTCTTTGGATCTCAGTCGGAGTCTATGCCCCCAGGTCACCAGCGGGAATCCAGCGGCTCGTTACGGGCCTCTCAGGCGCGTGGTGCGGATAAAAGTACATATTATAAATTTGATATGAAAATTCATCTTACGATAAGGATCTGTACCGTATGCTCATAAGGACAAAGTACGTAGGTTATGAAATCCGTTGTGTCAGAAATTCGTAGCACAATTTTCTAAGAGATGAAGTTTGGATGGTAAATTGTCGGAAAGTTTCGTACCGAAAATGTTTATCCGAACAAAGGTAGCATAGACAATTTCTAACTCAATTCTTCGCCAGGGATATAGCTCTCATGAACGTACGTAAGAACATGTTTGCATGTGGATGCAGGATGCAAGTATGCAAAGTTCGCACACAAATGCTCCTCTAGGGTAAACTTTGGGAGCTAAAAGCACTTCTGCAAAAGTTTATATGCTGATGTGTCATGTAAGAGCGCCTAATCCGTACACAAATGTTCATATGTGACATGGTTTGTCTAACAAAGTACGTACGCAAAAGCTCAAAACTTAAAGTTCGAATGCAGATGTCCCCTCCTGTCACCAAGCGTCGGATTAATGGCCACAACAGAGGTTACGACATCCATTAGGAGGAGAAAGGGTAGCAGATGACGGTAGACAGCGATAAATGCATAGGTCCTGCCGGATGTTGTGATCATCGGCCT